AAAATACTGATTTTTGGCCAAAAATCCAACTTCATGAAACCAAGTCAAAAGTTCACACAAAGTGAGTAGATGCCAGAAATGAATCCCCAGAGTTTTCAGCTCACTACAGTCAGGATCCGGGCAGAAAACAAACATTTGAGTTTTTACCAAAAATGGTCTCAATCTGAAAAGATTTCCATATCTGCGGTCATGAAAAATACTGATTTTTGGCCAAAAAATCCAACTTCACGAAACCAAGTCAAAAGTTCAGACAAGGTGAGTAAGATGCCAGAAATGAATCCCGAAGAGATTTCAGCTCACTACAGTCAGGATCCGGGCAGGAACAAACATTTTAGTTTTTTACCGAAAATGGTCTCAATCTGAAAAGTTTTCCATATCCGCGTCATGAAAAATACTGATTTTGGGCCAAAAAGTCCAACTTCACGAAACCAAGTCAAAAGTTCACAAAATGTGAGTAGACACCAGAAATGAATCCCAACAGATTTCAGCTCACTACAGTCAGGATCCTGGCAGAAAACAAACATTTTAGTTTTTACCAAAAATGGTCTAAATCTGAAAAGATTTCCATATCGGCGGTCATGAAAAATACTGATTTTTGGCCAACAAATCCAACTTAACGAAACCAAGTCAAAGTTCACACAATGCGAGTAGAACACCAGAAATGAATCCCCAAGAGATTTCAGCTCACTACAGTCAGGATCCGGGCAGAAAACAAACATTTTAGTTTTTTACCAAAAATGGTCTCAATCTGAAAAGATTTTCCATATCCGCGGTCATGAAAAATACTGATTTTTGGCCAAAAATTCCAACTTCACAAACCAAGTCAAAATGTTCACACAATGCGAGTAGACCCAGAAATGAATCCCCAAGAGATTTCAGCTCACTACAGTCAGGATCCGGGCAGAAAACAAACTTTTAGTTTTTTACCAAAAATGGTCTCAATCTGAAAAAATTTTCCATATCCGCGGTCATGAAAAATACTGATTTTTGGCCAACAAATCCAACTTCACGAAACCAAGTCAAAAGTTCACACAATGCGAGTAGATGCCAGAAATGAATCCCCAAGAGATTTCAGCTCACCTACAGTCAGGATCCGGCAGAAAACAAACATTTGAGTTTTACCAAAAATGGTCTAATCTTAAAGTTTTTCATATCGGCGGTCATGAAAAATACTGATTTTTGGCCAAAAAATCCAACTTCACGAAACAAGTCAAAAGTTCACACAAGGTGAGAAGATGCTAGAAATGAATCCCCAGAGATTTCAGCTCACTACAGTCAAGATCCGGGCAGAAAACAACATTTGAGTTTTACCAAAAATGGTCTAAATCTTAAAGTTTTTCATATCGGCGGTCATGAAAAATACTGATTTTGGCCAAAAAATCCAACTTCACGAACCAAGTCAAAAGTTCACACAAGGTGAGAAGATGCTAGAAATGAATCCCCAAGAGATTTCAGCTCACTACAGTCAGGATCCGGGCAGAAACAAACATTTGAGTTTTTACCAAAAATGGTCTAAATCATAAAAGTTGTCCATATCCGCGGTCATGAAAGTACTGATTTGTGGCCAAAAAATCCAACTTCACGAAACCAAGTCAAAAGTTCACACAAGGTGAGAAGGTGCCAGAAATGAATCCCCAAAAGATTTCAGCTCCCTACAGTCAGGATCCGGGCAGAAAAAAACATTTGTTTTTTACCAAAAATGGTCTCAATCTGAAAAGATTTCCATATCCGCGTCATGAAAAATACTGATTTTTGGCCAAGAAATCCACTTCATGAAACCAAGTCAAAAGTTCACACAAAGTGAGTAGATGCCAGAAATGAATCCCCAGAGTTTCAGCTCACTACAGTCAGGATCCGGCAGAAAACAAACATTTGAGTTTTTACCAAAAATGGTCTCACTCTGAAAAGATTTCATATCTGCGCGGTCATGAAAATACTGATTTTTGGCCAAAAAATCCAAATTCACGAAACCAAGTCAAAATTTCACACAAGGTGAGTAGATGCCAGAAATGAATCCCGAAGAGATTTCAGCTCACTACAGTCAGGATCCGGGCAGGAAACAACATTTTAGTTTTTACCGAAAATGGTCTCAATCTGAAAAGTTTTCCATATCCGCGGTCATGAAAAATACTGATTTTGGGCCAAAAAGTCCAACTTCACGAAACCAAGTCAAAAGTTCACAAAATGTGAGTAGACACCAGAAATGAATCCCAACAGATTTCAGCTCACTACAGTCAGGATCCTGGCAAAAAAAAACATTTTAGTTTTTTAGCAAAAATGGTCTAAATCTGAAAAGATTTCCATATCGGCGGTCATGAAAAATACTGATTTTTGGCCAACAAATCCAACTTCACGAAACCAAGTCAAATTTCACACAATGCGAGTAGATGCCAGAAATGAATCCCCAAGAGATTTCAGCTCACTACAGTCAGGATCCGGGCAGAAAACAAACATTTTAGTTTTTTACCAAAAATGGTCTCAATCTGAAAAGATTTCCATATCCGCGGTCATGAAAAATACTGATTTTTGGCTAAAAATTCCAACTTCACAAAACCAAGTCAAATGTTCACACAATGCGAGTAGACACCAGAAATGAATCCCCAAGAGATTTCAGCTCACTACAGTCAGGATCCGGGCAGAAAACAAACATTTTAGTTTTTTTACCAAAAATGGTCTCAATCTGAAAAGATTTCCATATCCGCGGTCATGAAAAATACTGATTTTTGGCCAACAAATCCAACTTCACTAAACCAAGTCAAATGTTCACACAATGCGAGTAGATGCCAGAAATGAATCCCCAAGAGATTTCAGCTCCCTACAGTCAGGATCCGGGCAGAAAACAAACATTTGAGTTTTTACCAAAAATGGTCTAAATCTTACAAGTTTTCCATATCGGCGGTCATGAAAAATACTGATTTTGTGTCCAAAAATCCAACTTCACGAAACCAAGTCAAAAGTTCACACAAGGTGAGAAGATGCTAGAAATGAATCCCCAAGAGATTTCAGCTCACTACAGTCAGCCTGGGCAGAAAAGAAACATTTGAGTTTTGCCAAAAACGGTCTCAATCTTAAAAGTTTTCCATATCCGCGGTCATGAAAAATACTGATTTTTGGCTAAAAATTCCAAATTCACAAACCCAAGTCAAAAGTTCACACAATGCGAGTAGACACCAGAAATGAATCCCCAAGAGATTTCAGCTCACTACAGTCAGGATCCGGGCAGAAAACAAACATTTTAGTTTTTTACCAAAAATGGTCTCAATCTGAAAAGATTTCCATATCCGCGGTCATGAAAAATACTGATTTTTGGCCAACAAATCCAACTTCACGAAACCAAGTCAAATGTTCACACAATGCGAGTAGATGCCAGAAATGAATCCCCAAGAGATTTCAGCTCCCTACAGTCAGGATCCGGGCAGAAAACAAACATTTGAGTTTTTTAACCAAAATGGTCTAAATCTTACAAGTTTTCCATATCCGCGGTCATGAAAAATACTGATTTTTGGCCAAAAATTCAAACTTCACGAAACCAAGTCAAAAGTTCACACAGGTGAGAAGATGCTAGAAATGAATCCCCAAGAGATTTCAGCTCCCTACAGTCAGCATCCGGGCAGAAAAGAAACATTTGAGTTTTTACCAAAAATGGTCTAAATCGTAAAAGTTTTCCATATCGGCGGTCATGAAAAATACTGATTTGTGTCCAAAAATTCCAAATTCACGAAACCAAGTCAAAGTTCACACAAGGTGAGTAGATGCCAGAAATGAATCCCCAAAGATTTCAGCTCACTACAGTCAGGATCTGGGCAGAAAACAAACATTTGAGTTTTTACCAAAATGGTCTCAATCTGAAAAGATTTCCATATCCGCGGTCATGAAAATACTGATTTTTGCCAAAAAATCCAACTTCACGAAACCAAGTCAAAAGTTCACAAATGTGAGTAGACACCAGAAATGAATCCCCAACAGATTTCAGCTCACTACAGTCAGGATCCTGGCAAAACAAACATTTGAGTTTTTGCCAAAACGGTCTCAATCTTAAAAGTTTTCCATATCCGCGGTCATGAAAAATACTGATTTTTGGCCAACAAATCCAACTTCACGAAACCAAGTCAAA